TGGTCCAGAACGTAACATAAAGTGGTAATTAGGAAAGGAAGTCCAGTAATTGAATAATGGAGTGGTGAGATCAGCGCATGCCTCAACAGCGGCAGATGAAAAGCATGGGAAGCCGCAATCAACAAAATACTTGCAATTGAGAAACCAGAAGAATAGTCGTACAGTCTGTGGTCAGGGGCAACAGATAGGTCGGAATTCTCTAGGAAAGACCGAAAATCAGTGTAATAAATTCAAAAATCAGTAGCTCTAAGCGAGAGGTTCCAACACCGAGGGTGGAAAAAATGGAACTGAGAGCTGTGGTAGATGGAGCATGTGCTGTAGGGGCAACCTAAACTTTGTTACTTTTCTCCTAAAAGCTCTAGAAGATTCCGAGAGGACCAGCGCAGGCGCTGTTTAACCCACTTGTGTGCATTCACAGAGGCCACGATGAAGAACCTGCTGCTTGAACCTGTGGCATTCAAGGGAGGAGCATATTCCTCGAATCGCTTTGACACATCAGTCGGACATTGAATGAACTCTAGGGGAGTCTTGCTTGGCCTAGCTAACTCCATTCTTAAAAATCAAGGGTGGGTGAAGAACAGCCCTGCCCCCTCCCCACAAGACATCCCCCCACCATGCCAAAATAGGGGGAGGTCATTATCTGAGCTGCATTTCCCCCATAAGTCAGTGCACCGCCTTCTCCCCCACCCATCCTGGCCAAAACGCAAGTAGATTTCGAACGTTGGGGCCTAGTGTGAGCATCGGGGACAACCTGGGGATGGAAATTTGGCCACCAAACCATTCAAAGCGCCTCACCCTCCTCAAGGCTGTCATTATGGAATGGGAGCCATGAGATGCATTTGCCACCCGAAAACAGGGCGGGCATTCCTCCAAACCAGTAGTTCTGAAACCGGGGTCCCCAGATGTTCTTGGACTGCAATGCCCAGAACTCCTGGCCAGCCCTAAGCAATATAAACACCTCCAGGAAAATAGTATTTCAGATTTAAGTGAGAGGTATAGGTCATCATGAAAGATGCATGTAAGTGGAGACGGGGCTCGGAACCACAGAACCGCCTCTCGGACCAATGGATGAGCCAGCACGAACCGCCAGAAGCCGCAAGGCCCATCTCTAGGTGTCACAGTATATTTCAGACCATTTATTAGAGTGTGTTTTATCTCAATTACTGGAATCATTTAGGACTACAGATGTACCGGCTATTAAATTTTCAAAGTTGAAGGTGATTGTGGCTACACCTGGAGCAAGACAAAGCATATATAACAAGCACACAAGAACACAACTTGTAAGAAGGAAAGATGATGAGAGAAATGCAGAACATTTAGAGATCCAATTCTAGAAAGAGTAAAACAGAAGCAAACACCATGGTTTTCTATCAAGCCTAGTTTCCACCATTCCCTGTCAATTGCAGTGTTCTATGATTCTATGAAAGCAAGCCTGGCTCAAACCACCTTTATATATACAGTAGTACCTTGGATTACAAATGCCTCAGTTAACGTAATTTTCGGTTTACAAATGGAAATCCACTGAAAACAATGGCTCGGTTTACGATATTGTTCCGCAGTACGAAGGGCGTTTCCCCAGGATGCATTGTGCCTGAACGTTTATAGTGCTGCCCCTGTTCCTATGGCAAGCCACATTTCAGTTTACAAATTTTTCACATTACGTAACATCCCGGAGAACACATTAAATTTGTAAACTGAGGTACTTGTTGTTGTTTAGTCCTTTAGTCATGTCCGACTCTTTGTAACCCCATGGACCAGAGCACGCCAGGCCCTCCTGTCTTCCACTGCCTCCCAGAGTTGGGTCAAATTCATGTTCGTAGCTCTATATATATTTTCATACAAATGAAAAAGAAGGAAAACTGCAAACAGAAAAAAACAAACTGACCTCTTTTCATCCTCTACCAACTGATTCTCGAGCAAATCCTTACACACTGCAAGTAGCTCATTTTATTAGCTGCCACCACCCCTCTGGCGATTCCTATTAAGTGTCCCCTGGATATGCCCAGTCATATTTGTTCAGTAAACCTTGACACTGCTATTTTGATGTACAGTAGGGACCCCTGAACTGCGGGTTCAGTAACCACTGATTCACTTGCCCAGTCTGAAAATATTAAAAATATTAAAAGAAAAAGGCATGAAATGTATTTCCAAAGATGAAGTTACCAGAACTGGCCACTAGAAGGAGCCAGAGATCATATATATAGTGTTTGCTATTAAAATAGCATTTGCTATTGATCCATGTTTTTCAGCATTTGCGAGAAGAGGCAGCCTTGGAACTGATGCCCTGTGGATGCTTGGGTACTACTGCAATTTCCCGAGATGGCTTCCAATGTGGGAAGCAGGGTAGGAGCAAAACCTTACATGCAGTCCAAAGGGGGTAGATCGGGTATAAGAAGCACACTGGTGGGTACAAGATTTTATGCTTCACCCAGATTTCCATCAAAGAGGGCTGGCCCTCCCTTCTCCCCTTCCTTACAAGATGACTGAGTAGCTCTTACAACCGAAAGACTTCTGACCAACAGGAAATATTCTGCATCACATCCTTCTTTCTGAGCTCATCACAAAATATACAAAGGAGAGGGTTCAGAAAGGAGAAGACCAATGGATCAGAAGGAAAAATAGTATCTCCCTATATCACGGGAATTAGAGATGGAAATCTTTATTTTTTTATTTTCACAGTAAAGTGTGGGGGAGGAGAGAGAGAATCAAAAGATTCCTCCCTGCTGGGAAGATTATGGGAATCTTTGTGCTCTGGGGGAATGTTGGTTCTTTTTTTCTCTCTAAAAGGCTGTGTGGAAGTGCTTTGTGTGCTCACGCACACCCCAGTCATCTGCAAAGAAAACCTGGCATTTTGTACAACATACAAGGCTTTGAATGGGGGGGGGGGAACACACCACCCTCAGAAAATCCTTTTCCTGGTGAAAAACCTGCTGATCCTTTTCATGGTTGTGGCATGCTTGTGTAGGAACAAGAACAACAAAATACATGATGGCCTTCATTGATTCCCCCACCCCCCATGTTGAGACGCATCTCTTTATTTTTTATTTCGGTCGAGGGTGACAAAAATTCGCATTTGTCACATCCTTAGCGAGACCGGTTGACCACCTTTCTAAATTTAGTAATGTTCCATGAACTACACGACTGAGCTATTTTTGTGGTGTTTTGATAGCACCACACAAAACGCTCAACCATCCCATGCAACCCCATTAGAGTTTCCACACCAGGACGGCTGAGAGGGAGGAGAAGCCCAGAGGGAAACGCGGGCCGAGACCAAACTCTGCTCAAAGCTGACGCCACGGGGATCTGGGGAGCAAAGAAACCACAGCAATCAGAGGACCGATGTGATCTGGGAGCTGCATATTTAAAGGGTGGGAATACTGGGTCATGAGGTATATCGGCTGGTCTTGGGGGATTCGGGGAGGTCTCCTACTTCAAAAAGCATGCTGCTTATATACCACCCCATAGCAATTAAAAGTACCCTCTGGGTGGTTTACATTTTAATGATGCAGGCGACATGTTGCTTCCCCCCACCCTCAGCAAGCTAGGTACTTGATTTACTGAACTCGGAAGGAGGGAAGGCTGAGTGCACCTTGAGCCAGCTACCTGGGATTGAACCCAGCTTCTGAGTGGAGTTTTGGCTGCACTGCTGCAGTTTCACCTCTGCGCCACTATGGTGAAACACTTGCTTTGGTTTCGCTTCTCTTCCAGGCAGCAGCTGAAGCCGTCTCAGAGTAACACCAAGAAAGTTCTCAATCCTTATTCGACTGTGTTTTATGGAACGCTTACGGCGTGGAGGCAGAAACAAGAGATTGCGGGAAGTCATTCCCAACCCCCGGTCAATTGGTTGGGTCATTCTAAAACCTGGGCAAGCATGGGGAAATGCAAACGCTGGCCTGGCTTGACCAGCCAACCAAGACATTCAGTCAACCTCACCTCTTTACTCATGGAGGTCCTTGGCCCATGATACGTTCCATCTCACATGGAATTCTGCATTAAACTGAAGCAAGGCAAGAGACTACCACTGCTTTTGAAAAAGCCCCATGTGGAACAAGTGAAACACGACCCACAGCCCCTTGTCTTGTAAAAGCAAAATGTGCTGCTTATATACTGCTCCACAGCATTTAAAGCATACTCAGAGCAGTTGACAACTTTTAATTATGCAGGCTAGACACTGCCCCTCCCCCCCAGCGAGCTAGGTACTCAATTTACCGACCTCAGAAGAGGGAAGACTGAGTCAACCTCAAGCCAGCTACCTGAGCCTGTTGGGATTGAACACAGGTTGTAAGCAGAGTCTTCACTGCAGTATTTCAGTTTAATTACTGTGCCTCGAGGGTCTTTTGTAGCTCTCTTGACAGCTGTAGAGCAAACTAGGAATGAAGGCCAGTGGTGGCAGAACCCTCTTTCCTTTCTCGGGGCTTTCAGAGAAGGCCAAAAGATGCCTGCCATCTCCATTCACCGGAGCCCTTCCAAATGTCCATTGATGCGCGCAGGAAGATGGAGATTCTGCTCCTTCCTGACCCCTCTAAAGCCTTCCAGGTCGGAAACCAAGGCCTTTCTTCATGCCCAGGCGCTCAATATGGGGTTGCAGCTTGGTGAAGACACTCTAGCGCTTAGTTTCATTTCCAGCAGGGTTTTCACAAAAGTACTTGATCCCCCTTGGTTCACTGCCCTTTTGCAAAGCTGGCATGGATGACAAAGGATTCCCCCTCCCCATTCTCTGCAACTTATAGGGAATATAGGTCGTATGTCCTTGCAAGGGGAGTTCTGAAGAGCTGGGTCACCGCGCATCGTCTTCACTAGATGTCAGATCACCACCACTATTATTTTAATCTTATTCTGATGTACTCCAAAACGTAAGCGTATATCCGTATCTCACATGCCATGTTACCACCTAAATCCCCTCCATTGTATGCTTATCTCTGCTGAGAATGGATGCAAGGGACCAACACAAAGTTTACAGATCATTTCAGAAGGCTGTGCTCTGGCTCTTTTCCACCCACCTCTCTCCTCCGTGATGCCCAGCAGCTCTGTTTAATCTTCCAAACCACGGCAGCCACCAGGAGCAGGGACAAGAAGCAGCTGGAAAAGGAAAGGGGAAGAGAAATTAACTCCACAATCCATGCCTCTTTTGCTTATATCTGTGAAAATTTCTCAGTCATCCAGGGGAGGTTCTCTGGAAGTGGAGTCTGTTGAGGTTTTGATATGAAAATGTATTAAATATTAATGCATTAAATATTAATTACTATTAATTCTCGACAGAGTCGTGGCAACCACACTTCTTTCCTATTAAGTTTGAAATGTTTTGCTACACATCCCAAGCAACTTCTTCGAGTCTGAGGAGCGTTGGTAGGAGAGCCGTGATTGAATCCAACGTGGAGGATCTATCAGGGTTAGGGTTAAGGTTGCCAGGTCTCAACTTCCACATCCTCTTTTGCTGGCGATGCAGGAGAATGTAGCGATGAGACCATCCAAAATAGCACTGTATTTCTGCGAACCTCCGTCAGTGGATAATCACGGCATGTAAAGTACCGTATTTTTCGCTCCATAAGACGCACCTTTCCATAAGACGCACCAATTTTTTAGGAGAAGAAAACAGGAAAATATAATCTGATTTCTTCGCTCTATAAGACGCACAGACTTTCCACGCCCCTGTTTTGTGGGGGGAAAGTGCGTCTTATGGTGCGAAAAATATGGTATTTGGAACGATGAAGATGCATGTCGCTGTTTTGCAAAGCGTTGCACAGCAGCCACTGGCAAATGGGGGCTGTGTGGATGCATAGGGTGTGTGTGACAAAATGCACTGTTGCAAAGGGCAGATGTCAAAGCCAGAAAGAAGTCACACCCCCTCCTTCCCAGCTGAGCACCTCAATGCAATTCACGATGATGATGGCAGGAGGCCCTGCCAATCCGGAGCTCACTGGGACCCACCGAGGGAAACAGAACGGCAACACCTGAGAATATGCAAAAAGCATTCTAAACAATGAATGCCTTCGAGAATACAATGCTTGTTCTGTTCCTTTTTTAAATCGCAGGTAACGTCTTATTTATACACCAACTGAGCTAGGAAATGAACCTGGTCCACACTGATTTATTCACTTGCTCAGATTTATGGGCCCACTTTGCCCCCAAGGCCCAAAGTAGATTCTGGCCAAATGTTGTCATTAATCTTAATTTAAAAAAAAAACAAAACAGTGAAGGCAGTCACTATTATCCCATTTTTCAGAAAGGCACAGGAGGCTCAGAAGGCGATGGGCTCATAGCCGACAGGCAACCCAGGGCTGAAGATGGGAGACACACCCAAGCCAAATTTTAACACTCTTCCCATGGGGTCAGACTGGCTCTATAACCTTCCTGTTCCTTTTACAAGAGCATTCGACTGCATTTCTGTTCCTTTAAAAGAAAAAAGGGTGACCGAACAGCCTTTGTACATCAAAACTTCTAGCCAGATCTCGCCGTAATTATTTTCCATCTAATTAACGGTAAAGCTTGGCAACCGCAGCTGGCAAATATACGTTTCCTCGTTGCTGCAGTAACCTTCGAAAGGGTACCCGCCACCAAACAAAGCGCACTGGTGACTACAGCACGCTCCGTTTTACAAGCTGCAAAAACAGCGCAGAAAAATCATTAGCCCACCTGGTGGGTGGTAGCCTCTGTCACACGTGGCCAACGGCTGGAACAGCCAGAGTTTTGCTTACACCATGGAACGGGGTGTGTTTTTTTAAGAGCAACTCAACAGCCCCAGGCCTCCATTCCAGCCAACTCCTCTTGAGTTAAACTGGACCCTGTCAAAGACGTGCACAGAACTGGCACAATCCTCAGTTTCATTAACGTAACAATTTTCTTTTCCTTTTTAACGTTTCTGGCACGGAGATGTATCAGAGGAATAGTTAGCATCTAATTTGTCTCTTTGGCATGCTCAAGAATCTTTTTTTGCTCCCGAAAAAAGGACTGACGTGCTTTTCTAAACTGTCACAAGGAGGCGGCTAATCCTTGTTAAGTGCCAAGAACTCCATATGGTGGAGTTTTGAGGGGTTTTTTTCCTAAACCGCAGGAGTTTGTCCTCAGTACACTTTAAAAACAGAAGAACCAAAGAGTTTTGCTTTTATGGTCTGCAAATATCAAAGTGACAGGGCTCCGAACCCCACTGAACAGCCTTTATTTATAGGGAAATATGTGGGATTTTAAACACCGATCCACAAATTCTGTCACACTTGAGCGAGACTTACAACCAGAATCCAGACAGGGTCTTTGCATCCAAGCAGACAAGGTTAATGTGGATAAGAACAGTCTCGGTTCTCAAACGCTCCCAGTCCTATACGGACATAGGCCTGTGCTCAAACCCAAGGAAACCGAGAGAAAGCAAAGCCTGTCCGGCACCTTCAACAGGAGGCCAGGATACATCTCCAACCCAATCGGTGAGAAGTGTTTTTTCATTAGTCGGGCATAATAATAATCACGTGCTGTGAAGTCAATTCTGGCTGAAGCTGATCATCGTCAGGGTTTTCCAGGTAGAGAATACACAGAACTGGTTGACCATCCCCTTCCTCTAGGGGGCACCCGGGGACGGTGCAGCTGGCCCAAGGCCACCCAGGCTGGCTCTACTCACAGGGAGGCCCCATGGGGGAATCCAACGCCCAACCTCTGGCTCTGCAGCCAGAGCCCTAAACCATTGAGTGGTCCAGCCAGCTATGGCCATAGGACATCAAGTCAACTCTGATTTATGGCAACCTTTCCAGGGTTTTGCAGGTAGAGAACGCCCAGAAGTAGTTTAGGTAAAGGTAAAGGTTCCCCTTGACATTTAGTCCAGTCGTGTCCGACTCTAGGGCACAGTGCTCATCCCCGTTTCCAAGCCGTAGAACCAGCGTTTGTCCGAAGACAGTCTCCGTGGTCACGTGGCCAGCGCGACTACACACGGAACGTTGTGATCTTCCCACCATGATGGCACCTAGTTATCTACTCGCATTTGCATGCTTTCAAACTAATCGGTTGGTAGGAGCTGGGACGAGCAACGGGGGCTCACTCCGTCGCGTGGATTCGATCTTACGACTGCTGGTCTTCTGACCTTGCAGCACAGAAGCTTCTGTGGTTTAACCCGCAGCGCCACCATGTCCCTGTCAGTAATTTAGTAGTTTACCATTCCATATCTTCTGGGACTGTGTGCAGCTGGCCCAAGGCCACCCAAGCTGGCTCTACTCACAGGGAGGCCCAGCGGGGGAATCGAACTCCTATCTTCTGGCTCCCCAGCCAGAGACCTAAACCAATGAGTTATCCAGTCAGTTTAGTGTATATAGAGTGACAATCTGTAGCTGCCTTTTACTAAGTCAGGCCATGATCCACCCAACTGCCAATGGCTTTTCAGTGGCTTGGACAGTTTTATTTTCCCAGCTATGCTTCCAGATCCCAGAGACTGGGGCTAACAACTTGGCATATATTAACAGATGCTCTACTGCTGAACTATAGCCAGCCTCCCAAATCGGGGCAGATGCTCCAGAAAACCTATAAACAGCACCCAAGGGCTCTCCATGGAGCAAAGTCAAGAGTGGTTAGAAGTCTGCCCCTGGCTTGGGGGATCGGGTGGCCAAACAAGGTGTATTTTATTTTCCCAGTGGGGAGGATACGGGGTGGATGCAGGAGTGACTCAAAGGTCTACAGAGGTGGGAGCAGCATGTTTAGGGCAACCAAACAGCCTCCCTTTTTCAATGCTTCTAGCCAGGATTCCCTCCCCTGGTCTAAATGAACGAGGAAGCAATGTGCTGATTTCAGAAGGGATCGTGGGCCAGGTGGCTTGATCTTCCCATTTAAAGACCTCTTCCGGGAAGAGGAACGACAAAGACCCAGAATTATCACCATGCCTGCCACCGAGGAATAGGCTACCAGGACAGGGCAGAGAAGGTGGGGACTCACGCGTTGCCCTCTGAAAAAGTTTTCCAAAGCTGGGCAACTCTGTGACGGCTGCTCGAGGTTTTCCTGTCAAAACCCTTTTGGTTTTAGCAGCTGCTGCTGTCACCAGGCTGTTCTGAAAAGCCAAAAAAAATAAAGGACGAAAGCGCAGCCAAGAGCGAGGAACCTCGCCTGTCCCTGGGGAGACCCTCTGCCTATCAACACAGCCCAGTGCTTTTATCATGTCCGTCTGGTGCTCGACACGGCGCAGGAGAGCCTGTCCTGGCTGGCAGCCGCTCTCAAAGACCTCCCTCGGGGATGGAGAGAGACCTTTCCAAGAAAGGTCCTTAGAAGACTTCGTAAGGAGAGAGGCCAGAGATTGAAGCTGTGATCTTCTGGTTGATGGGCTCTCCCTCAAAAGATGGCGGTCCCCTTGACTCCTTGCAGGTTATCTGTATATCATATGGGATCCCTGGAGCAGCAGCACGCCCTGTCCAGCTGTCCACTTGGCAAGAGCAAGGTCTGAACATACCTTGGGGCTAACCCACAGAAGCACCCCAGGACAGCTTACAGGTCTACCTAGGTAAAGGTTCCCCTTGACATTTAGTCCAGTCGTGTCCAACTCTAGGGTGTGGTGCTCATCCCCGTTTCCAAGCCATAGAGTGAGCGTTTTGTCCTAAGACGATCTTCCGTGGTCACGTGGCCACCAGGTCTACCTACTCTGTACGTAGTAAATTGGGGCCACCGGGAAGCGTTTTGTCCTAAGACAATTTTCCGTGGCCATTGGGGCCACCGGGAAGAGTCAAATTGTGCCATTGATCTGATTTCCCCTCAATGATATCTCAGTTTTCCTTCTGAGTTAATACGGGGGGGGATCATTGTGTGTTAGGTTTTCACTCCCAAACACCCTACTTTTCATGTAAGAAAGGAAGAAACAGTATTATATTCCTCTTCTTTAAAGATTCAAATCTATGTCTGACCTTCCAAAGAGATTACAGAATAACACAGTCATATAAAATTACCCATTGCAACACAGTACAAAACATGGCCAGGTCCCTCTACTATGCCACAAGGACCAAAACTATTTGCAAAAGGAGGAAAAACTACTCCAATTCAGTAAAAATGCCTTTTGCAGATGGCATAACTAAGAAATGGAAATCAAGCTTTCCAAATTTTTACAAAGGTTTCACACCCTCTTT